GGATAATACATACATTGCTTATCGGCCTGGTTTTTGGTAATCGCGGTTATATATGGTATAGCACCATTGTCGACGTCATTAACGAAGTCGTCAGCTGTTTGCCACCATTATGGCCAAGGACAATACACACTTGCTTATCGAACTCGATTATTGGAATCAAGTTCATATGGTGTTGCACCGTTGCCAACATCAACGGCAACAGCAACGTTAGCAGTTTGCGTCAGCGGTCGTAGTTAAGAATATACATTGATGATGAAAAATATTATTTAACTGTGGTGCAAACACTCTACGTCAAGACGAGAAGCGACACGCTACGTCATCACTGGTGCTTTGGTATGGCGGGGGCGCTAGGCTAGACTGTAGAGTCAGGAGCATTTACCCTCAGATTTGACTGGATTTAATCCATTTCCCAAAATCATAAATCACAACAAAAAAAAAATATGATACTTGCTTCTTGGTGTTACGAAAGAGGTGCCAAGATCGTGTGTAAAAATCGTGTAATTGTGAGACTGAGAGCGTGTAAAAACGTGTAATTTGACCAGCATATCGTGTAATTTCACAAGTTCAGATTGGCAACACTCCCGACCGCAGCCATTGCCGTCCCCCAGAATCAAAAATACGCCTGGTGTGTTGAATTCTTGTGTTCGATTTGATGCGATCACTTAATAGGGATGCTGTCCAACGTCAAAAATAATTTGTAAAAGTTGACCGCTACACTACCACTGCATTATCAGCAATTTGCTGATCACCAAAATAAGTACGCTCGTCGAAAAATCAAAGCAAACTGCTTGGTTACCATTAATAAGATTTGTTTGTGAAGCAATTGCTGGTAGGATTGATAAGACTGGCTTTGAAAAACATTTTGCTACATTCGAATCATTATGTTTTATGATTGAACAAATATTAGTAAACTATTTTTCACAATAAATGTTTTACTCCTTTTAACCACCTGGGGCGTTTTGAAAGAGCTCGGCCATGAATACAATGGGTAGAGTCATTAACTCGATACCAATTATTATAAAAAATACTATACATACATGATGCATTTTGATTTTGGTATTTTCGATACCATGTATTGAAATCAAGTACTTTGTGTTGATTCTATTGAATTTTCAATTCCGAATGCTACAATACTGTAACAAAATCAATAGCAAATCCATAATCTCGGTCCAAGTTCATCTTTCGTGGGATAAGTTTTATTTTTATAGATAGTTAAAATGTGACTCTAATGGGATTTACAAACACATGGAGTTCTGCGAACGACCTAATCTGGTAAAAATCACTTGAAAGCCAAAAAGGTATCGAATTTTATAGCTTCAAGATTATTTTGCTTAACCCGAAATTGACAAAATATATAGGCAAAATTAATGTTTTCCTAGATAAACTCTAAACTTTAGACTAATCTAGATCCCATGTGGTTGTAATAATTTATTCAAAGTCAAGGATAATCTTCTGAATACCCACGTTTTAGGACGAACCCAGATGTCAGGTAACTGATACCGTTGCTGGAAGGAATTATATTCGAAGCATGTGTGTGTGGAGCGAAACAGTGATTACATGAGCTGGATTTTTAAGATATTGTATAATTATCAAAGGTATTACTTTGGTGAAATGTTAACTGTAAGATAGTCAAATACTTACTTATAATTAAGATATAGGTAGGTTAGGATAGAAGTGATAAGTCAATTATTTTATTATCAAATTAATAGAGGATAGTTTAATTCATTTCGCACCCTTGAAAATTAGGTTAGAAATTATGGAATTTTTATTTTATTTACTTGATTAGGTTAGAAATTAGGTAACTTTTATTTTATTTACTCGACTAGGTTAGAAATTAGGAGATAAGAATAGAAAGAATGCTCAATTGATAATTTGACCACATCTAACTAGCGAACTCCGTTGGAGAGCCATCAAACTGGATCACAGGGTAGACCAGTTTGAATAGGGAAGGTTGAATAAACTTGAGGACCAATGGAAAAACAACAAGAAACCGGAGGGTACTTTTAGCGAATCTCTGAAAGCTAGGAGGATTGGAGATTTTCGACTTTGTCGATTCTCGCAAGCCCGGTACTAAGGGTTAACCAGTGTCAGTGGGCTTCCAAAGTGGTACCCAGAGGGTGGCTCCTTTCGCTTATTCAAGCATGACTTTGAGTCCAGTTAACTTCAGTTATCGCCAATTCGCCACTAGTTTTTACTAGTTTTTACTAGTTATATCTCCGGAAATTTATTCCGTAAAAACTCATGATTAAAAATTCCAATTAAATTTAATCTCCGGTTAAATTCAAAGTTGGTGTCAAATGATAGTTTATGAAAATCTAAGATAGGAATGTAAAATCGGGTTTTCTCTAAAATTAACCGTTCAGGTTTTACAGCTTGTCAAAGTTGCAAAAAGTCAATTTTCAACTGTCAATATTTCCAAAACAGTTGAACTTAGGTATAGGGTAAATCACATGAAATCTTCTCAGAATTATACGTAGACTCCAAATTTGCAATCACATACAGGCTGTTCCATTTAAAATAGCGATGTTGCCACTGGTTGAGAGTAGCAGCGGCAACACCGCATAAACAAAAATATTTTTAAAGTGTAGATTATGGTCGTTTATCCCGGTTGCCAAATTTTAAAAATGATCCGCTTTTTAGTTCTCCATAAACGTCTAATACGCCATCCATCGTGGGACACCCTGTATATGCACCAAGATTCATAATATTTTTATACCTACCTCGTAAAAGATGGATCAATAGCATACTGAAATTAAACCGTACATGCAGACAAAGTTTAAATCATAATACATATATGTAATATTTTTATATACACCACGTAAAAGTACAGTGCAATAATATAAATTCTGCACTTGTGTGATGTGCTTCCCCAGAGGTTATTCTAACGTGCAGTTGGACACAAAATGTGCAGTAGGAAAAGTAAATTGTGCAGTGGAAAATTAAAATCTGTGTAGTTATTTTTTCATGTATTACGAACAAATAATTTAGTTGACATAATATGCTACATATGAGAATACAATAGCACTATCAATACATACATTTAATTTGTTCTAAAATGTATTGCTGATTGCCTGTGCTGTTTGGCCTGTGCTGTTTCTTTGAGTTTGTGCTGATTCTCATTTAATCAAACCATAGTGGCTTGTCGAGGATCCCACTCTGACAGGTAAGGCATATTGTGATTAATGTAAAAAGGACGTGGCACCCCCAAAAAATTTTCGCCTGCGGCACATTTTATGTGCAGTGGAAAAAAATCCTTAGAATAACCTCTGCTCTGGTCTTTCCTTTATCCAGGAGTGGAAATGCAAGCACAACTAGCTTTGTGTATTATTGTGTGGCAGCACGTAAGCAGCAATTTTATCATTTGTATTACTTGTAAAGAATGGAAACTTCTGTGCTACTTTAGGTACTCTGGCAATTTTCTTTAGTATTGCCGCGATTTTTTATGAAGGATGCCTGTCCAATATCTAATATGCCCAATTTCGACTTCAAAACAATTTAACACGAATTACATAAAGCTGTTTGGTCATATATTCTCGTATAATGATGAACGAGTAAGCCCTACAATACAACTTGTATGGACGGAATAATAATCCAAATGGAATGGACCACACAAAGAAGGTTTCAAACAATTCAAAAAGCTCCTCACAGTAACATATAATAAGTTATCGATGGCGTTGGGCGATGATAATGAAATTCTATTCTATATCGACACATTAGCAATAACACCTAAAGCGCAGATAGCTAAACTGGACCTAGTCTGAGTAGTCTGACAGGGCTGTTTGTAAGCTCAATTTTCCAACTACATATCCAATTTTATTACAAGCAAAATGTTATAAAGAATGAATTTTTTTGGGTTATATGGGAACCCATCCAAGGAATATACACCGCGCGACAGAGCTACATATACACGTGGCGATAAAGCTATATATACACGGAATAGTATATTTACGTTCAAATTGAGTAAGCAGAAATTTTAGCACACATATAACACACTGTGGATCTTATAATGTGTGTATATGTAACATATACTGTGGCTACATTGTGAGGCGGGCGTATAACCTTTGTGCATGTGCTTACAATGTATAGACGTACCATATTCACATCACTGAATTGTGTAACCCTGTGTCTGCATCTAGATTAGTGATGTGACGAATAGTAGTTTGGCCGAATAACCGAATACCGGATATTCGGCTGAATTTAAACCGAATATTCGGCCAAATACCGAAAAGTTATTAAAGCATGTCAGAGTTAAGCTTAGTTCATATACTTGCGAAACGCGAATTGCGAAAAACGAATAATGATCCTATTGGTTCAATTGGCTTCCCGCCGCTTGAAATATTTAAAATCAACCAATAAGATCATTATTCGCTTTTTGCAATTCGCGATTCACAAGTATATGAACTAAGCTTTACAATTCGCATACGGAAATGAAAGGGATCGGTTATTACCTGAGAGTGGAGCATGTGGTATTTCTACATCATAACCTACCAATTATATTGATTTTCAATATTGAAAATTTTACCCCTTATTGTTCTACTATACTAATATTTTTCTATTATATTCCCTGTTAAGTTGAATTCCTTAACGTCAGAAGTTTTTTTTTTTCCATTTGCTTTTATTTTTTGAATTGATGTTAATTAAAAGTTAGTGTTTTTCACTAATTTCACTAAAATATCCAAACATGAAATATTAGGTATTGAAAATCGAATATTCGGCCGAATACCGAATAGCAAAAATAACGCCGAATAGGCCGGATACCGAATAATTATTCGAATTCGGTCACATCTCTAATCGTGATTTAATGTACTGTATGGGATATAGATTTGCAATAATAATTTTACAAGTGGTCATGGAATCATTACAAAATCCTTAGTTTTCTTCAGCAAATCGAACCATGAATGTTGAGTAAATACATTGAGACAAGTAACTAGAAAAGTCACAACTAGATGTTAATAACTCCTTTTGCTGAATTAAGATTTTTGTGCAAAGTACCTACTTACATTTTTTATATCAAGTCCTACGCCGTAGCTCAAGTAACTAGGTAGTTCTGCTAACAAGAAGGTCGAGGACCAGGATTCGCCAATCGAAGCTAAAATGATGGCCCAATAGGGCAGCGACTTGAAAATTTTCAACCACGGTATGGATTTTTGGTCGAACTAGAAGAATGTCACAATAAAAATGTAATTTCTTATACCAAAATTACCAAGTGGTCGTTCTGCTGGCTCAACGAATGCTCAATGTACTTTCGTTCTTCCATCGAGATCTTCGAATGACTTGCTGGTGTTTCGGCGCCATAGAACCACCAAAACAGGCACCAGGCGAACGCCAAAACCCCGAATAGATAAAACGATGATGGCCAGCCCCACGGAGAAGCTGACAAGTACCCAGTTATTATTGTAGCTATTATAAGACCAAAGTAGCCACCTAAAATAAGTTAAATAGTTTTAAACAAGCTTAGCACTAGTAAACAAAGTCACTTGAATACACGATAGCGTTCGAAATTGATAATTCCGTAGGCGGTATCCATCTACCCATCATTCCGCTGATACACGGCAATAAGAAGCCTTGAAACAAGCCTTGTATGATACGCATTGCCATTACTCCATTCGAGCCCAGATAAGCTGCTATAATTGGAATCTAAACAATAATTAACAATAAGTAAATTCGTTTGAATAATTTTGAAAAGTTACCAGAAGCATGGTCAGAGCATTTGTGAGCATGGCAACAAACAACAGCATTTTAGTTCCGAAAAAGTTTATGAATTTGCCAGAGAAAAATTGCAGACACGCGTAGCTCCAGTAGAATGCAGACAAAACTATGCTGGAATTCGTCCAATGGTAGTACTAGAAACTAATATCAATAGCAACAAATTTCAATTGAAACTGTACAGTTATTTACCGGTATGTTAGTATTGCTAGAAGTGCCAGCTGAAGTCATAGCAACAATTGCTACAGAAAGGACTTGTCTTATGGAGAACATGATCATGCAACAAGTAAACAGTAGGCCGATTTGGATGTGACGAGTTTTGAGCCATTTTGAACCTGGAATTTGAAACAATTAGATTGTTGGTGCTTTTATCTTAACGGCTTTGTTTATTTGAAACAATCAAATTGTTATCTGACACAATCCAGAGCTCATTAACAATGCTAACTGATATTTTTTCATTTTTTTATAATTCTAACATGGGTCATGATGAATAATAATTGCTCAAATATTCGATGTTACTCTAGCAAATTGATATCATTTGAAAGAGCATTAAATTCTGTATAAATAAGGTCGAGGCGCGTTAAGTGCATTTTACCGCATAGTGTGCGGTAAAGAAGACTTTGGTATTTTCAAGAATTCCTTCTCTCCCAGAAATTTCAATAATGCGTTTTTTTTTGGAGATGTAGATGCTCATAGGTAAAATGTTGTACCTAACAACCACATGCGGAAAGTGCCTTTACTACCCTTAAAACAGCTTGACCAAACTCAGCTTCGCCTCGTTCGGTCAACTGCCGTTCTGTGCGGTAAATCGGTAAGGTACCTACTATCACATTCAATTTTGTCTTTCTCTTGATTCTGAAAAAGTTCCAGCAACTTATCAATTTGAATTTTTATCTAACTGATTGTTTGTTGAATTGTCACTATGTTTTACCTCAAAGCTTCAAAAATCGTTTTTCAAAATTTCATATTTGCGCGCCTAGTACAATACCTATTGAAAATGTTCTTCAGCCTATGCTTTTTTATTTACAATAATTATTCTTAATTCACCTGATGTTTTACTTTGATTTTTTCCTATTCTCACTGAACTTGCCATGTTTAACTTTCTGTTAAACTTGACACATGCGACAAACTATATCAAAGACTATATTTATTTTTCTAAATAAGTATTGTTTTATCAAGATTTGCTCCACATATTATTTGCTTATGTATATAGGAAATTTGAGTGTGTATATGGGGATCTCGGAAACCATAAAAATACGAAGTCGATTAAATTTAGGCAAATTTGCGCAAATTTAACCGACTTCGTATCTCTTATGGTTTCCGAGATCCCCATACATACACTCGAATTTGTAATACCCTGTAGATGTAAAATTTGAGATTGATTGAATTTGGAAAAATACTCAAAATCACTTACTTTGGGCCCGGTTTAGTTCAGAAATCACCTCGTTTTGGTCTGTCATAGTACCACTAGCACTTAATTTAAAATGACCGCATACTATGCAATTTTCTTATCCGAGCACTTATTATTCGTGCAAGATTGGTTCTAAGCCACTACCAGTTATGGTACCATATGTCATTGAAAGATAAATCCTCGGTATTCAAGGTTGAAATGCCCATGAACAACATATTCAAAATTTAAGTAATTTACCGTTCATTTTTCTTGTTGCAGGATAAACTAACGACTAGAAGACAATCCAACTGCTCACAAAGTAATAATATTCACATTTAAATTAGCCGAAGGTGATGAACGTTTACGTCTTTGGGCCACCACCATCATCAACATTATTTTTTCAAAGACGATTCTGGATTTTTTATTTCAGATTTAAAGAGCTTTTGATGTCTCAAAATCTATGACGTATTGCCTTGATTCGAAAATAGTTATTTGTGCAACCAGTTGGGAAAAGCACTATTTTTCGTGACGAGCATATTTCTGCGGAACGAGCAAAGCGAGCTCTGCAAAAGAAAGCGAGTTACGGAAAATAGTGTTTTCCAACGTGTTTCACACACAATATTTTTTCTAATTTTGTATATTATGATCTAATCCATTCAAATTCGGGTCAAAAATTTCCCTTCTATAATTATTTCTAAATCGTCAAGTAAGTTCAAAGATGTTTCCCATTCCGTGTCCGTTAGGGTTGCCAAGTTTTTGAAATGGAAAAGCGGGAGGTTTAAATTTTTGGCTGCCCCGCCCCAATTTTCACGAAACAATTGTTAAAACACGCTGTCAGTCAAATGTACCATTTGTTAAACAAATTACTTGCCAACTCGTTTTTTCCAATTTTTCCAAAAAAATTAAAAGCATTTATAATATGATATTACCTCTAAGAAATTATTTTCCTTTTAATTACCACCCTTATTCTTACTCTAACGTTATCTAGATCTGCTTGGAGCCAGAAGAGTAGGTTTAAATGAAAAGGCTTTGGAGTGCATGCGTAAATCGATGGTAGATGGTAAGGTTAGGTTGCCTGATAACTTTAATGACGTCGTCTGGGGTGCCTCAACCAATGGCCTCAACCTGATGCGAATCTCCATAAGGCACCCTAGATAACATCATCAATAGTTACCCATTACCAGACAACCTATTATAGGTTTTTTACAAGGTTCCAGGTTGTCTGGTAATGGGTAACTTGATGACGCATCTGGGGTGCCTTATGCAGAGTTGCATTATGCTGAGGCACCCCAAATGACGTCATAAAGTTATCAGGCAAGCTAACTCTCTCTCAAGCAATGGGCGAATTCTATTATTTAGCAATTAATTGATCCATCTGAAGCGTCCAATATAACGTTAGTAAAATCTGTTTTTTTTTTAAAGATAGAAGTCGAAATGACATTATGTTGGCAATACAATGTAAAATTGTCAAGCTTTCAAATTTTTTATGTAGAAAAGGCTTGTGTTGCCAACATAGTTACTAAATTTTTGACTCGGGGAATTATCTTTAAAAAAGAAACAGACTTTACGTGTTTTCGAAAATACTTGTCAATTTTGTCAGTGTAAAATATCAAATTAGATTAGGCAAGGCGCTTTTTTATATCCAAACCCAAGAACATCCAAACCCTAATCCTAAATCTATATATGTCCTAAGTATATGTACAGGGTGGTCCAAATTGGACACTTTCTTATGGAAACACCCTTTATTTTTAGAAATAGAAAAAAATGGACTCCCCACTCTGACGCTCAAATCTCATGAAATCTTCATTGGTGCAAACCGCATTTTGATACTGGTAATGGGTAACTTGATGACGCATCTGGGGTGCCTTATGCAGAGTTGCATTATGCTGAGGCACCCCAAATGACGTCATAAAGTTATCAGGCAAGCTAACTCTCTCTCAAACAATGGGCGAATTCTATTATTTAGCAATTAATTGATCCATCTGAAGCGTCCAATATAACGTTAGTAAAATCTGTTTTTTTTTTTAAAGATAGAAGTCGAAATGACATTATGTTGGCAATACAATGTAAAATTGTCAAGCTTTCAAATTTTTTGTGTAGAAAAGGCTTGTGTTGCCAACATAGTTACTAAATTTTTGACTCGGGGAATTATCTTTAAAAAAGAAACAGACTTTACGTGTTTTCGAAAATACTTGTCAATTTTGTCAGTGTAAAATATCAAATTAGATTAGGCAAGGCGCTTTTTTATATCCAAACCCAAGAACATCCAAACCCTAATCCTAAATCTATATATGTCCTAAGTATATGTACAGGGTGGTCCAAATTGGACACTTTCTTATGGAAACACCCTTTATTTTTAGAAATAGAAAAAAATGGACTCCCCACTCTGACGCTCAAATCTCATGAAATCTTCATTGGTGCAAACCGCATTTTGATATCTTCAGCCGTTTAGCCGCTAGAGGGCATTTCTCGATTTTGAGCAATATACTGTGAAACCTCCATAACTTTTTTGGTTATGAAAATAATTAATTTCCGTAAAAACTTTCTTAAAGCACTTTTTTAAGCAGAATTCAGTGACGTTTCAGTTTTTTTCTATTTGGCGACGATTTCGAGATATTGACCAAAATTCAACTTTTTTCAATTCGACAGCCTATATATTATTAGCTGATTGGGAAGACCTGCTTTTGCTGATTTCAATGATATAAATTTCACTAAGTTTCTCCCTAACAGTTTACGGGAAAAAAAATATTTCAGTTTTTGTCATAAGAAACAATGTGTTAGAGAGAGACCTTTTTCAGTTTCCTTACAGAGATAAAGTCCTTCTCCAACACATTGTTTCTTATGACAAAAACCGAAATATTTTTCTCGAAAACCGTTAGAAATAAACCTATCGAACTTTATATCATTGAAATCAGCGAAAGCAGAGCTTTCTAATGAGCTATTAATATATAGGGTGTTCTATTGAAAAAAATCGGATTTTGGTCAATATCTCGAAGGCGAAGCCAAACAGAAAAAAACTGAGAACGTCACTGAATTCTGCTTGAAAAAGTGCTTCTAGAAAGTTTTTAGAGAAATGAATTATTTTCATAATCACTTCCACCTGGTGCGAGAACAATATTTGATAACTTGCTTGAAAAACAATGTAGCATTATCTGACAGGACGTCCTTAGGTTTACCAGCATTGACAAAATATTCTTCAACGAGACATCTAAGAATGGCTCGGGTGGTACCTTTCTTTAAAGCAAAACAACGAACCAACTTGCTGAAAGCATCAATCATAACTAAGAGTTGGGTGACACCTCTACTGGATTGAGGTAACGGACCAATCAGATCCATGCATAAAATTTCATTAGGTGTTTCAGGTAAAACGCATTTCATTTCACCAAAACAAGTCTTTGCTTGCTTTGATTTCTGACAAAGGTCACACCCTGTTACAATCCTGCGGACAGAATGTTTAATTTTTCGCCAAAAATAATATCTCGATAAATAGGCTAGACATTTATTTACGCCAAATTGGCCGTTATTTTCATGTTCCTTCTGTATGTACAAGCGTAATAAACATACATAATTTGAACCCAGGTAGTCTGAGATCCTTTCCGGAACAAAACTCCCTCATTGATAACAAAACAACTTAAATAACTCTTGCGACAATCATTTCGTAATAATTCAGTTATAACCCTCTCACAAAATTCATCCTGACTCTGTTGGAGATGAATTGTGAGAAATTTCTATCTCGGTAGGTAAGGCTTTAGTTTTTTGCATCATACCACAAGCCAAAATTTCCACTTAAGAATCTTTAGATACATCAGGTACATCTACCAATCCCTCACTACAAGTAACAGGAAATCTAGACAAAACATCCGGAATCACATTTTCTGATCCCTTGCAATAGGACATCTCAAAAAAAAACTTCAGCAAAAATAAAATCCACCTACTTAGCCTCGAATTCAAGAGTCTGCAAGTCCGAATAAATGACAAAGCCTTATGGTCCGTGATAATTTGTAATTATTATCTCCCCATCACAAAAACTCGCCAATGTTTTAAAGCTGCCACAACAGCTAATGCTTCCTTCTCAGTTACACTATAATTTAACTCAGGACCCTTCAATGTACGACTATAAAAACCAAAAGAAACATCCGTTTGTATAACGAAAGGTCGATAAGGATCAGGGTGTATCCATGGACATTCCTTCAGGAGTCAATATATGACCCAGAAAACGGACAGATTCTTGAGAAAACGAACATTTTCTTAATTTAAGGATCAACCCTGCTATTTATGAAGCAGTCAAATCTAAAGTCGATACAGACTGATTTTTAGAAAATAAAAATTTCAATTCATTTGGAATAGGAAGAACGACATGGTCTAAGATCACACGCTGATTTAGAAATCGTGCATCGTGCATCCAAACACACCCTTATGAAGGAGTCTTTTTTCTTTACCACTACCAAAGGGCTAACATACTCCATCTGCCCCTTTTTAATCCCTCTCCAAGACAGCATTTCAGAAATTTGACGGTCAACCTCCGATCGATAAGCATGAGGAACTGGAAAATCTTTCCGATAAAAAGGCTCTTCATCCCTCAAATAAATCTTATGTATGTACCATCGTCACCAAAAGTATCTGGGACACAAATAATGCATAATAATCTGCTGGACTAATTCTACTGTGATTCATTTCAATGCATTCAATTTAGTTTGACAAATTTTTGACAACAAAAATTCATATAATAGGACAAGAGCTAATGTGATGCTGTCCCAGTTACTTTTGGTGACGATGGTACATACTTATTAGTTAAATCTGGTTTCTCAGAAAAAAATAACAGGATATTCAAAAAGCAAGTTCAAAAGTTTATCCGTGTGAAAATCAGAAAAGCTCTGCACTTTGGCAACTGTGCTTAGAAAATCTTCATCATGGTAAGAGAAATCTGTTTGGTCTTTGGTTTGTTCAAATATTGGAGAGTCATCAGATTCGATATCGATGCAAATTTCCGAAAGAAGATTTTCACCCGTAAAGGTCCCCACTGCATTTAACGAAATCTCATAGGGACTCTGGTTAGTGACACATTTTATTAATGATTTTTCAAAATCCAAAATAACAGAAAACTGATTCATCCAGTCAGATCCCAAAATTATTTCCTTTG